AAAACGAGAAATAAACGGATCCAAAATTTCGTACAGTTTTGCAGTGCAAGCAATTACATCCGAACAATGGAAGAAATCAGTCCAGCCGTGGGAATTGAGGTGTGTTAATAATTCGGTTGAGCGAGTTGATCGAAAATGGTCCAAATGTTTAACTTTGGGGACAACGCTTTGTGAGCCTCGAATTCCAACGTTGAAACAACTATGTCATGGTCTGAGCCCCCGAGTGGGCCAAGAGATGACAAAAACGAAGGTATGCAGCCTCTTAAAAAAGCAGGTCAAGTATGTTTGATCCTCGGGTGGGAAAATCGACAACCTGAGTCTACATTCCAACATTCACAGCCTCAAGAAAGTCTTCGAACATTCTGGGACCAGAAAGCGGAGACCAGCGGACTTCGGGGAGACTAAAGTCACCCGCAATCAATTGATACTTAAAGCTTAAGTCGGCCGCATCATGAAATATCTGTGGGAGTAAACGAGCAAAATTTTCTTTAGCGTTGGGAGGGAGTACGATAGACGCAGCCAACGTGTAAGTCGAACTTGATTTTCAGTGCAACTCGGAGCCAGCAGCTGCCTTCTACTGTGGAAAAATGCGGGAGGTCAAGCGGCAAAAATGTATGTGTTTGCTTAACGTAGACGTAACTGCCCCCACCACGGCTGTCTTGGCGATCATATCGAATGCAATTTTAGCCGAGAAGAGAGAGAGTTCGAAGTCAGCTACGGATGCTAATGTCCACGTGTCAGTTTCAAAAACAATATCTGGACAATGGACGAACGCCAAAGTCTGAAGCAAAGGCATCTTGTTAAGCAAGGATCTGGCATTTAAAACAAAAAGTTTGAAGGGAAAGACTGTATGTTTCTCAGGGAGGTGGGCTACGTCGTCCAGTGCTTGTCTGTCCACGCAGCAAACTGTCCGTATATACCATCCGGTTCTGCAAAAACTTCTGTGGAATCAAAAAGTCTGACATTGATAAAAAGGGGTAGGACTTGGCGGAGGAAATGTCCGGCATAGAAGCTGGCAACGATTGTTAGCTAACTCATTTTGAGCTGGAAATCCGGGGGCCAGACACTACAACACACTTCCGCCCGAACGACACTGAGGAGCGGATGAGTTAACTGATGCAGTATGGACATTAGCATGAGAAATACCTTCGTAAAACGGCCGTGGTAGAAACAAGTTAGGGAGTGGAGGACGCATGGCTTCCATTGAAACAAGAGTTCTATTAAACGGCGGGAAATTCGGCATATTCGGCCTAGCTGCCTTGACGTGAGGGCTGTAGGGCAGTTGGGAACACGTTACGTTTTGAGTGGAGCTGTTTGATGCACTGTTAGCCGATTGCTGAGGGAAAGACTTTATAATGGTGCTGGATTCATCGGGTGTCCGAGGGGCTGCGACAGCAATTGGATTTGCCTTTGACTTAGGCACATGGTTCGGCTTACTAGGGGTTGCTGCGGAGTCGTTAGAGGCGTGTTTATATCAGGCGTGCTGGTATGTTTAAAGATCTCAGCATAAAGATTAGTCGAATTCCCTACGGATTTGACTATGCCATGACGTGCAGAGGCCGCTGATAGCGTTGTAAAGGACCCATTTAAACTGACGCTAGGTGTCATTATCCTGGTGTTGGTTTTGCCAAATTTAATTTTTTCAGTCTTCGATGCAGGGGGTGTGAGGTCTGGCAAAACAGAGCAGCGCCATTTACGGCAGAATTCTCGAGTTATCTCCCTCTTCGACAAAACAAAATCGACTTTTATAAAGTAGAAAAGGGTAACTAGTATCGGCGCCTTACTGCTAAGCGAGTGCTGTCATTTAGCTTGTGCGACACTGAAACTCAAGCCACAACTTTGCAGGAACGAATGCGCTCCCTCCATTACAGATAAGTGGCTCGGAATGTTTTGCAGTACGAAATTATGCTTGCGTTTAATTCTTTCCTCAGTTTCAGAACGTATTACCCCAATAAGTTAAAAAGCTTGTTCAAGTACCTTTCCGGAGTACTGTTTATATCGCCATATATCAACTGATAGAGTATTTCGTCGGCTGATGGCCCGTTACGACAAGCGGAGACGTAGATTGGACGATAAAAGGGTCAATATGTCCTATATTTACTAAAGGGATTTGTGAGTTAATCACATCTGCAGAAGGCGAAGAGCATATGCTGGCACCTGCCATGGCTTCGGTCACGATTCTAGCAGCCAGAGACGGTGGGGTGGCCACAAACTTTCGTCTTTTAGCAGGTGCTCTGCGGGGCATTACAGACAAGGGAGGTTTTTCGTTGCAGTAGAAGGATCAAAACGTTGCTAGCGTACAGAAAAGCACACCGAGTAGCAAGTACTACTGTTATCTAACTACGAAAACTAGAAAGAGATAATGTGGAACGGATTCACTACAAAGGTTTTTTTTACAAAATGCGACTATTTTGCCAGACTGTCAAACAAAACTGGAAAAATTACATCTGTTAGTGAAAGGTGATTTCAAAAACCACCCAATTAAACAGACAGGCGTAAATTACTCAAGAATATCCAAGAAAATGCAAAGCTTCATTTACCTTTGAAATAATGCAATGCGCCATGTCCTTCACCTTGCTATTGGACAATAGGTTCTACCATCAGGTAAAGGGAACCTCAATGGGCATGCTAATATTAGCACTGCTAACAGAACTTGTATTGCAGCGATTAGAAAAAAAAGGGGTTTCAAGCTCTCAGCCCCAAAGTGTGGCTTCGCCATGTAGACGATACCTTTGTAGTGATAAAGAACTGCGAGGTTAAACGGCTGCATCAGAGGCTGAATGCTGTGTTCCCGGCCATACAGTTTACTCGTGAAGAGGGAATAGGAGACAGCCTGCCGCCTGTTGACCTGAGACTACGAAGGCTGAGCGATGGTACTCTCGCGACGAGCGCCAATAGGAAAGGATCTAATTCTGAAATTATCCTCAATTATGGAAGCAACCATCCCGCGGCTCACAAAAGAAGCTGCTACCGAACTCTGTTTCACCGGACCTATCGATATTGGAACAGCGATTATCTAAAAAGAGCTTGCCTACCTGTATCGATTATTCGCTCTAACGGATATAACACAAGTTTTGTAAAGACCTGCCTCAGACCCAGGCACAACTGCAAGGTCTCAACCTCAACGGGGAAATTGCGTCTCTACAATTCTTCTCTGTGTATTTTATGTAAGAAACGTCTGAAGTAATCGCCCGTCAGTTAAATCGCTCTGGTATTCTTATCGTCCACAAACCAGCATCCTCACTACGTGCAACACTATCTCGTATGAAGGATCCCCTCCCCAAAGAGCAACAAACAAACGTAGTTTATCGCATTCCGTGCGCTCAATGCTCTTGCGTGCATGTGCGTTATACAGTTCGAATCCTACACATCCATATTAATGAATGGAAAGTGGCTGTCCGTCGGTGAAACCCTATCCCTCTTCTTTTTTCATGCGGTCTAGTGCGACCACCGATTCTATTGGGATGGTACTGAGGTCAGCGCCATGGCTAACACAAAACGGGCGAGAGAATTTACCGAGGATTGGTACTCCAATGCTGGTAGTATTAACCGCCATGTTGACCTGGACGAGCATTACGAGAGCCCACGCTCACGACTTACTGTCGCCTGCCCTAATGCCACATCAACGGCGCAAATCCAGCCGTCCGGAGTCCAACTGATCCACCATCCACCCTCCCCCTCCACACAGGGATACGTAATTGTTTTGTCTCTCCCCTCCCCCTCGCCCAGACACCCACCAGGGCTCTGTCAACATCCCTCAGCTAGGCCAATAATCTGTTTGTCCCGTCGCGCTAACTAGTCTAGTGCGACAAACCAACTTTCTCCTTAGTTTTCATTTCGTCTGACGACGGGTTGCTGTCAGCAGCTCGAAAATTCACGAGTACGAGTAGATTTTCCGAAAAACCTCTTACTTTTTTAATATATATGAGAGGAAGAGGCGATATCCGGAACCACAGGTTTTGTTGCCTTACTTTTCAAAAGCAAACAAGCTTCCATCGTCGTTTGCATATTTCCAGGTTCTTTTAAAAGTTTAAGTGTTGGTATGCTTTTCATGGCGGAAAATCATTCGAAAATCTTAAGCAATAATTGTACAATAAAGGAAGCGGTGGTGACGGCAATTATTCCGTTGTTTTTTTATCCTGATCCACGTGCGGAAAGGCTTTTTAACTGAAGCATAGCCGGTAAAGCATTTAGCTAAAAATTTCATAGACCTTCAGCATACACTTCTAAAAACTTAACATACCGACAGATAAAACACTCCATGGTTGTTTATATGACGCCTCTATCTTACTGATCACTTATTCAGAGACTAACTGCTCAGGAATACCGACAGTTAATGATTGATATCGGACACATTACGATTAAGAGTAGATACGAAAGATGCTCCTATTCAGATAGTTATCGCCCATACTTGTTAAAAGAAAATTCAACGAAATCCTGTAGGCGAAAACATTATATCCCGATAGCTTCCTAATAACCTACCAATAGGCTTATAAATACGCCTGGATATAACATTATGTTGAGAAAACATTCTGCGGACTGAACTGGTTGTCAACGTGGAAAGTCCAAAATCACAAAGAAGGCCCGTTTTTCAAAGACCGGCAAGAAGGCCGCAAGACTCTAAATAAACCTATTGTTTATTTTGGATGCTTCAGACGACTTTTCTGAGATGCGATTAGATGGTGTATAACACCGTTTGCTATTCTTTTGTTAGCCTTACGGCCCTTGGATGATTCCTTATGAAGATTTCGCAACTTAGCATGCTATTCACAAGAAGACAAGTTCTGTAACGAAAATAGAAATATTTTCGGCAGTTTTTACTTCCCAAATGGGCTTAGAGATTCGGCCACTCTAATTTATTCTTGGAAAGCATCCTCGTTTTAATAAGTAAAAAAGATAATACTCTATTTTGGGGGTGCTTCCAAATCCGAGGTCAAAAGATATCATTTTCGAACAAGTATTTTTTTACCATTAGCGGATGATTTTCCGTCCTGAAAAGCATGCCGACACTTAAACTTTTTAAAAGAACCTGGAAATATGCGGAAGACGAATTTGTTACGTCCAGTCTGGTGTTTGCTTTGATTCGATTAATATTGTAAGTTCTCCGCGTATGTGCTTATAAAAACTAGGGTCTTGGTCGCAGGAATATTATTGTTTGGACCACAAACACGGCCACATATTGACGTTCCAGGCGCGGAGGTTGGCTTTCGATTTAATTTATAAAGCTGAAGGAAATTTTCATTACTACGACAGTAATCTGCTCAGTACAAATTTGCACGTATGTTGCTATGTTAATCATCAGTTCTCGGGGAGGAGTGATGCAAACAGAGAGGAGAAAAGCTCTGCAGCCTGTCATGGTGTTCCATATGTTTCTGTTGCCAACAGAATTTGTCTTTTACTGTTTATCAATATGGAAAAGCAGTGAAACGGTATCGCAGGAGTCTTCGGTATGTATCGATATACTATTTAAAAGTATTTGGTGACTGTGACGAAAGTTTCATATAGCTTCCATCCAAGACCTATAAGTCTCTTGAGGCGCAGCAGTCATGTTTAACTTCATTGGAGGTTTTAGCCTAAAGCTCAAGCTTAATCGGATGCTTTTTGCATTTGAATTTGCAGGGGTGCAAATTTTAGACGGGTATAGTCCACAGCATTCAAAACAAGCGCAGTGCTTTACAGTAGGCATCCCATCACCTAGATTACAGCAGCTATTACGGATCATGCATTATCGTTTTGTTGGAAAAATAAAATATGCGACAATAGTAAATGACACCCACGAGTTAAACATTCTTTCATTGTTTATTTCTTTTGTCCTATAAACGAATGCTGTGAGTAAATTTATGAACTTTTGTTGACTACCTGTACACTGTTACTGAAAGGCTTAAATATATTCTTATCCACGTGCGTTAATTTCGCCTACCACCTCGAAACTGTCTTAGTACTTTTTGCGAACGAATCCAATAAGCAATTACACAGGAAGAATTTCAGCGAAAAAGCTTTTTTTATTTGCAGGACTGCTGCGTATTTTTGTAGCCAAACCCATCCGATAATGCAAAGTCCTGCAAGTAATAAAATGCACACCTGTTAGTAACCGATTGTGGAAATTCTTAAATTATATATCTTAGAGAAGGCACTGTCAGCTAGTAAGAAACGGCATCTTCAGTGTAACTTTACTTGAAAGGAAATGGAAATCGTCTCTAGTTACAGTACGTCCGTGAGAATTTATGGATTTGTATTTCTAAGCTAACAGTCTTTGGTTCCCTTATAAATGTCAGCGTTTCTCGCGTAAATTATATGCACCATTTAGGATCATGAATTTTTTGTTCTTCACTTTCAACCATTTGTTATACTTATGTCTATGGGACATAGTTGACAAGTCCATTGAATAAGAAAATATTTTAAACTGATCTTCGAAATCTTCGAATGCCGTTCTAAGCCGAAGAAGGCAGGGATTAATTGCAGTTTAAGCAAGTACTAATTGTTACCCATCCAGCATATTAGGCAACCGAAACATATACATAATTAATTCAGAAATATGTTCATTGATTCCATTCAGCCAGCGTTAACAGCAGTTATTTGTTGGTGCGCGATCGGCATGGCCCTCGTCTTATTTTCACTTCTTGGATGGGTGCGACATTATGACAAAAACGGCGCAGAAAAGTACAAGTTCTTCAAAACTTTCTACTATGACAAAAAAACGAGTCATGAATTAACAGGCGACATGGAAACACTTTTGAAGAAGATGCACGAGATATCTCTTGAGAAATGGACGAATTTTGTTCGTCAAAAGGTGGCCGAATTGACGGAACCTGATGAGGAAATGAGGCAGGAAGCTATAGAAGAAGCCTCTTCAACTCTTGCTGATTATATGTCGGTAAATGCTAGTGACGTTTAGGTTTATGTAATGACCATACATTTTTTCTAAAAGGTTTCTTATTTATAACTGCAAAATTCAAAAAAGATTTAATTCAGTCGCCTCCTGCCTATTAAGACTGGTGAAACGTCTCTACCTCTATGCATGTAGTTCGGTAAATTACATTTCTGACATGATTATCATTTTGATTTTGGTCAAAATATGATTAATACTTTTTGCAACTCAGAATGCAGTCAAGACTTTCGCATATTTTGATGACAAATCATAATCTTATTTGCCTCTCTGTAATTTAATAGCATTTATAAGAGCAATGAATAAAAATCAACGATTTCAATTTGGTTGCAAATAAAAACGTTCATAAAGAAATAAGTTTTGAACACTTCAAAACTATCGCCTGTACAAAATCAGACCTGTTATCGTCTAATCTTTGTGATTTTTACTATTATTACATTTGAAAACAAGGAACACCTGCTCACACCTTAAAATGTGAATAATACTAGACACTAAAGCCACTTAGTTTAAATATATCAGAATATGACAGTCTTTGAAACAAGGTATCCTAAATGCAGTAGCTGGCGGCTTTACTTTGAGAAGGTTGCTTTTATTATTCGGCCTTACAGGATCTGGATCTGACGAGATCTGATGTTTTTATGGGTCTTCTGCTTCTGAGGTGGCAATCAGCGCAGTGGATTGGAAACAAGTCGGCCCTAGATGCTCAATACGTTCTAGATAATACTGATCCAATAACCACCGACGTGGCTGCTGAGGTAATTCATAAACAAAAGACAAACAATGATTCAACCGAAACTATGGTTGGTACGCAATTTACCTAGAACCTGCGTCAAATTAATGCAGTAGAATGTCTGTCGGCACAAATTTTATATTTCCACTGACTTTCATGAGAATACCCTGCGTTAGTGAAATTGCAGTCATTTAAATTGAGAAAATAGGATACCAATGTCTTTGAGATAGAGTCATACCTGCTCTCATTCCCCATTTTAAAGTTCAAGATGTGGCAGATATCGAAAATGGGCGGGCGAGCAGTTGCGCGAGTTTCTGGCTAAAATATTCGAGCACTATTCTCTGTGACCTTTCTAAAATAGTGGCAACTTACACTAATGTATATATCTTAAGAGTTATTGGTTCCCATCTTTTTGTTAGAGATTTCGTCATTGATCTTTCTATGTCTATATATTCTTGTTATGGTTGTGTTATAGTTAATGAATAGAGAAAGAAAAGTACAGTTGACAAAACTGATCATGAGTATATATTATATCGGTAGCGGATAAAATGTTGTCAGTGTGTGCTAGTTTCATTAAATGATATAGGTTTCCTGCTTAGCGTTCATGCAGTATCCTCTGTTCCCATCAAAATGTTTGACATTTTACAAGGCAACTAACCACTTCGACTTCAAAACCTCATTTTAGTCACTTTTGCGGTTTAGTACGATTTATGTTTAACAGAAACCAAAATGGGGACTGTTGGATCATGATTAATATATGTTGGGGCTATGTGCATTTTACTGACTGGCCATTCTAAGTGTGGTACTCAAAATAACCTCCTCCCCCATAAATGTACTTTTTGTTTAGATTTTTATCCTCATACGTTTTTGATCACTTATATATATATAGCACGAATTAAATATTTCATTTATAAGTTTTTCTCGCTTTGACGATGAAAGCCACCTTTCTGGTGCAATCTTGACAAATATCCTATATAATAATGCCCATTAAGTCCATAGTTTTCTATTTATAATAAGCAATTTATTTATAAGAGTTTGAGCTGCGAGCTACCTGTGACATTGTGCACCGGCGTAGCCACTCGTCATTTAATGTTTGCCAAGGTGTTAAATGATATACTTTATTTTAATTGAGTCAATTGAGCCAAACACAACAACTCCACGTGAACGTATTATTCGCGACTGGCTTCATATTTCTCGAATTCGTCGTTACATTCACTTGGCGCTGGCATCATATGGCTGGAAGCACTACGTTGGATGGAACACGTGCAATTTGAGGGCTAGAAGGACAATGCGCCGATATCTGACCTCCGGGTGAGTAGATTATGCGGTTATTCCGCTAAAATGTCTTCCATTTTTCTTAGAGGTTTTGCATTTAAGCTTGTTTAAGCTGCCTAAAAATGGACGTGGATTAAGGTCCAAGATGAGGCCCTTTACTCTAGAAAAGAATGCAGACGTAACCAGAAAGAGGATGTGATTTAAAGTATTTCAGGCAGTTAACATCAGAATTGAAAGACAAATATACTACAGGAATAAATTGTGAATTTCTTTGTAAAATGGCCGTTATGCCTGTCAGTGGACTGGCTTTTGGCCTTTCAGTCCACCACTTTGAGCAGTAATTAACAAATGTCGATGTGAATTACAGCATGATTTAAAGGTTGGCAATCGAGTTACTGATCAGTATTTCTGCATAAAACTAAGCCCCATCTTAGTATGACGTAAGTCAGACGAGGAGCATATTAGGTGGAATTCTCCGAATAAGTAGCTTAACGGCGTTTATTTTTTTCATTCCTACGTCATAATTGGGCTTGATTTGTAACATTTAAAATAAATGTACCACATGAGGTTTAAAGTCCTCTGAGGGGGACATAAAACCTTATATATTCAGACAGCGTGCACTAACAGAATGGATCGTTCTGAATGTTGTTCCTCGTCGCTATAGCGGCTAGGTCAGTCGACTGTCAGAGCATTCGACATTTGTTCAATAACCACATGAGCTGAAACAATGTCTGAAACATAAATAAAAAAAACCGGAGGGCGACGCTTTAAGCCCACTCGGCTGCAGGCCTCCTTCCCTTCTGATTTTGTTCCACAGTTTATAAATAAGATAAATGCCCATGATTAATCATACAACAGTCTATGCTCGATTCCAAGACAGCAAGGAAAAAGAATGCTTTCTAGAGTGGATGCAGTTTTCCTTGAACACATCTTTGAACCGAATAATGTCTTGCGTATTAACTCTATTCAAAATGATTATTGTAAAGATCGACGAGGCACAACAAGAGCGATGTATATTTGTAGTAATCTGGTTCTTTTGACAGAGTAAAATCGAAAACTAAAAGCAGTAAAATCCTACATTGTGTACTTGCGACTACTCAGTTTTGAAAAAGAGGACATTGAATAAATCACGTAGCAACTGCCGTTAGGCAGAAAAATGTCGTTCGTGGACGAAATTCAGTATATTTAGCGAGGAGAAGGTAGATCAAACCTCAGTCATTCCTGCCCGTTATGACGCGATCGTCTGCATGCATGACTCAAAGAACCAAAAGATTAACGGTATTTTTTTTTAAACGTGGAGACATTGCCGTAAGTTGCTACAACAGAAATGGTCCTGCTGTTGCAGCACCAAGAAGAAGGTCAAGAGGGTAGTGCTACATTTTTTAAAATATATCTCATCTTCTAACAGACCGCTTTGCTCGTCGCTAGTGTGGCATTGAACACTCGATCTTTCTCCAGCGCCCTGAACCATGTCATTTGCACACATTTTTCCGCAAGAGATGCTGCTCAATTCAGGTTATTTATGTCGGACGGTTGTAAGAGTTTTTGACCTCAGGAGTCATCAGCTAATCACATTCGGCAACAGAACCCTCTGACTCATAATGACCTTGCTGGTAAACGTGGCGGGTCACTGTATTTAATTGTTTGCTAAAAGACAATGGGTAACTCGCGACTGCAAAAATTTCTGCTACTTTATTACGTAGGCGGACTTATACTTTAACTATTTCGTGGCCATCTGTGGTTTGTTATGAGGACGTATTTTATATATCTCTTACTGTAAGCTACTACGTGTTATCTAATTCGTTTAGTGTTTTTGAATCAGTTCTCACGTCTAACCACAGAAGGTAACGTCGTGCGCATAATAAAGTACATTTACCGCAGCCGGGAACACGAAAGCGCAGCTGTAAGTCACTTGTCAAGTTCTTCGCAGAGCCAAGCTGTGCGGCACAGTTGGATAAAAGATTTGTTTGGACATGTTTAAAAAGCCAAAAAATTGATTCTGAGTAGTTACTTTCAGTAAACATGACATTGAATACTCACCATAATACGACCAGTGTGTTCTGGAAGCATTATTTAAGATACCTTCAAAAAACATGCATTAATTATCCCTAGAAGTATGAAACGACTTGAGACTTTGGCTTTGTCATATTCCTTATCAACGCTGTTTCGCTCTGACTTCTACCTCTCTTCTCATACGCACGAGTACATTAACAGATTAAGTCAACCAGGAAAAGGCAAAAATCGATCAATTGGCTCGTCGAAGTAAACAGGCTTCGTAAAGGTAGCAAAGATCACGAACAGGCTACCTACTGCCAGGCAGTAGTCGGTCCAGTTATAGTAGCAGACGGAGGAGACGAGGGACAATGCGGGTAAATGGATGCGGAACTCTTCTCCTCTTTTCAAAATCCAATCATCACGGGAAATATTCTAGCGTAATTCAATACCATAATCTCGGGGTTCCTGAACTACATTGTGCAATGCGTTGACTAGTGTTCATCTATGTTATCTTACTTTAAACGTCGTGACCTACTTCGCCCTTTCGATTTACGCCCATCATAGAAAAGGCCATGCATGAAAAGGGAGACTTTGAAATAGGCAGACCTAGGTGTCAATCGGCAGTCATACGAATTCGAAAGACTAGATATGCAGATTCAGGAGCAAGCCGTTGAGTTACTAACACTACGTCGACGACTTTGTGGGTTCTTGCGCAGAAAATAGAGTTTCGGTGCGATACACTGTAACTCTGTCCTAACGTCCTGCGTCTAAAAAACAACAGTGGGAGTCAAACCGCCGACTGGATACCCGATCAAAAATAAAACTCATGGCGCAATGCATTAAGTAGGTGCTTAGAAATGCCTATTAGGCATCATGATGACTAAACAACCTCGGACGCTTTTGCTATTTACGTCTTGGCTAGATTCTCTCGAATCGACTTTTTCCAACCGCAAATAAATTTGTAAAACTTCAACAAATATGATGATTGTATTTACGGCCAAATAGAACTGTCTTCGTAAAATCTGCAAGGACTTCAAATCGACATGTATCGCGGAAATTCTCAACGGATTCAGGCTAATGTAGTTACTGTTCACCGATGTGTGTTTAGAATTGTTCCATTGAAAGCGATTTGAATGAAAGGGGGAGTCTCCCGATAGGCGAAGGTTTCCCATCGCCGGGCCACGCGGAGCGCATCGCAACAAAATACATTGCCTCAGTAGAAGCGAACAGACGAGTCCTGGGACGTAGTCTTGAAGACAAAAGCTTTCTCATCCTGGCGTTTTGGATTCCTGCTCGAATCCATCATCAGAGACAAAAGCAGATACGGGTTACGATGATGGGTTCGAGCAGGAATCTGAAACGTCAGGCTAATAAAGATTTTGTCCCAACTATCGTGTCTCCTTCTTCAAAACTACTTCCTGGCACTCGTCTTTTCGCTTTTATTGAGGCAATGTATTTGGTTGTGATGCGCTCCGAGCGGCCCGGCGATGGGAAACCTTCGCCTATCGGGAGACTCCCCCTTCTATTCAAATCACTTTAAATGAAACAATGCTAAGCACACATAGGTGAACAGTAACTACATTAGCCTGAATCCGTTGAGATTTTCCTGGATACTTGTCGATTTGAAGTTTTCGCAGACTTTTGGCAACTGTTAACACAATCCCGTCCGATAAGTCCATATTTTTACGGCAATTATGCTTCATTTTCTCAAATAAACCAAATTAGCAGTTTCATGTTCTTTCAAAGACTCGCTGTTAGCTTCTTCATCAAAAATAAACTCCAAAATGAAGACTATTACATCCAAAAGACATTTTGGCGAGC